TTTTCTCATCCTTTAATACGATTCCACCTTTTTAAATAGCGTGTTATCAATTAGAAAATAAATAAGTGTAAAGAACGCAGAAGTGTGTTGTCCATGTGTTTTTAGATTTTCTTTTGTTCCTGGGGCGCTAGAGGGGGGCTTTTCATAATCCCTAAAGATTTTGTATGGCAGCTGGTTAATGATAATCTTCAATCCTTATTGGTCGCGTCACTGGCTTCCTGATAAACTATTGGTGGATTAAAAATAATCTGGTATCAAATTTCATAGGGTACCGCCATCTTGAATGTTTATAAATTACATATTGTCTTCAAGATGATTGAGGATCAATAACTCCAAAGCTTGTTTTGCCGACTTCTTTCTAGGCGAGGATCTGTCATGGAGGGAGAAGAGGCTTTAATTCATTTCAATTGTTTTGTGCACTATCCGAGTTTCACAGAAGAAGGGCTAGAGGTTGAAACGGTCGCAAGGGGAAATGGTATCCAACTTTCTCCTAGCACACAACTTTCGAGTCTCGCAGCGAGCGTGTTGAGCGACATGTTCCAAAAGCAAGAAATAGACGGTAAAATTATTATGAAAGCGGACAACGCCAAAGGTTAGTGTGAGTACGAGTTTCTTTTCGTCTGAATTTTTTTAACCTGACAGTTGAACTTCGTCGGATAATATGCACTCTTCGTGCGAAGCCTGAGGTTCGAATCATCGTTCGGTGGGGAATCGACCACCTACATTTACATTACTTGATTGATGTAGGTAGACACGGCTTTGATTTTGTTTGAATTGTTCACCTGATGATCTTTCAAAATAAATTTCAACATCTCAAAGTAAGACTTGATAGCTAAAATGAAATTGCTTCCTTTAAGTCCATTATTCTTTTCAATTGATTGACCCTGGAGACATAAGCTCACTTTGAGCTAAGACGTGTTATTCATGTTGCAGAATGAGGTGTTTCTTTGTTTGTTTTATCTATCTTCAAGACTTCGAATATTTGGTCCGAATTTTACTTTCTCCTTTAGCAACTGCATATTGCGTTAAATTGAATATATATCCGTTTTTGTTCCGTGGATTATAATGAATGCTTCATGTTGTTTTTGGTGTTTGGCACAAGAGATGCAAACATTTATTACGCTTTGAGATTTTCTGATTCTTGGGGAGGGGAGGGTGTATGTTGGAAAGAGTATTGGCAAACTGTAACTGAGACGTGACTTGATTTTTTATAACGAATATTCAGTATTGATAGGCCACTTAAAAAAAAAACAGCACTATGATACTAAAGTCTTGGGTGGTACGTGATTCCAATGTGTTTTATTCTAAGCACAGTTTGCGTGTGCCATACCTCAACCCCTTAGTAATGAGCTTACCCTTTGCAATTGCACACAAAAATAGCTGCTTTAAGTTAAGCTATAATAATAGAGTATTGATACACCTTGAATTATGACGTGCCATTCAAATGAGAAGACTCGGTTGATTATGCTCCATTAAAGGTTAGCTTGAGCGTAATTAATGGTATTTGAACTGCAATTGAAGTGCAATTTGTATAGGTAATAGCGTGGGGCCAAGTAAAATTAAGGATTAATATCACGTGGGTTTTCAGAAGTTGCTGAAATTTCCCTCTTCACTGCGCGACAAGGGCAATTTAAGCAATTTCTGAAAACACAAGTGATATTAATCCTTAATTTTATGAGGACCCATTGCGATTACTTGTTAATGAAGTAGAGGGAAAAAGTACCGAATTTCTGAATGCGCTCTTGAGTAATCAGTCACAGGAAGCCATTAATGTTGACAAAGAATCAATCACCACAAACGCGCAAATGAGCTGAATGAAGTTTTATTTCTGCACAAACATACCAGGACGTTGAAAACCAGGCCGGCTAACAAACCTTCAACTTTGAAAATATAAAGTTAGTGCTTTTTTAAACAAAGTTAAGGCATTCAAAATACTTTCAGATCACTCAGAATCTGACTAATCATGAGCAAGTAATTTTGCCCTCTTCACAAGTAAAATTAAGAAAAACACCCTCTTTATTGACCAATCAGCATTCAGTAATTTTTCCTTCTATGTTATTAGGTAAGAAATGGTGCGTTTGATTTCAAAATCAAACAAGCATGCAGGGCAAGTTTGATTTGAAATCACAAGTGACACGAAGTTCAATCACCACTTTATTACATCAACTGGTATTTTGAAATTGCAGAATAAAGGTCTTCTAGTCTTTACAAATATTTTATTGATCCAGTATTGAGCTGTTTGTAAAAAAGTTGCAGAAGTTGTTTTTCATTTTCCTGCAATTTGATTGGTTTCTTTAAACAAGCCTTGAAATCTGACTGGTTGTTGTGTTTTAGTAATAAAAGCTGTCTCATTGGCCGAGAAAAAGATGCAATTAAGAGCATAAAATGGTCCTGTTCATTGTTTATAAACAGATGGCACCAATGAAAACCAATCAGATTGCGAGGATCATGAGTGACTAAAAATGGATGTAATAAAGAATAACGGTATATTCTATAGTTGTCATACTCCACTGGCATGTATTGGATGTGAGATGGTGTCAAACATGATTTCAGTTGTAAGGTGGCTATGATTATCAAGTAACGAGCACTACTGAAATAATTAGCTAACTGGAAAATAGTTATTGGGGAATAGATACAAGAGGATGGGAATACACCTGATAATTTACAGGAAATAAAACAAGATTACATGTATTCTGGCAGTGAGAGCCCTGTGGAACACATAGAAATTGATTTTTTTCTTAGGTCATCTTCAAGTTCCAAAACACCCAATTTTATATAAGAGCAGAGTAAAAAATAATTTGATGTCTGTAAGGCATCTTAAAAATGCTTGTGCTTGAGTTACACTCTTCCAACCAAATTATTTAGGTTTTTTTATTGTTAAAAATCTGGTAACTTTTGAAACTAACCCATTACAGATGTTCAGTGAAACACTCTTGAGTTAACCATTTGACTCTCAATGGTGACCAGCATCTAACTTGTCCCCACAGTATCATGCCTAAATCAATCAGTCAGGTCACCAGAAATAAGGAAATGATCACCAACTTAGGAAGCTCTTGATTGTTAAACAAATTCTTGTTATTAGCACCTCAGGAAATGTAGAGAGAAATTAAAGTATGGAGAATATGGACACTGATGTTAGGGTGTAAAGGG